CTGTATAAATCATTTACCAAGTATTTTGTGTAAATTAGTAAGGGCAGTAAGGAATTTAATTTACATTGTGTACTATATTGACAGAGAGCTTGGAAAATCAAATTGATAATACTAAAAAAATGTCTTGTTATTTGATCGAATATAATATACAATATAATAATATTCTCTAAACAAAATGGGTGAAATTTCCAAAATGTATTTATGTTAAAGGCAGAAAAAAGCATCGCCAAACCCTTAAAGTATATATTTTTCATAAAGTTCTTTCTATATATTATTTATAGCATGTGTACAGAGTATTTTATTGAAGAGCATTATCTCTTACTCACTCACTTCAATTTGTAGGCTTATGGATAAACTGAAGCACATCCTGATTGTACTAACATTAACACTCTATATAACATTTTTGTGTACGAGAGAGTTTAGTTCTTTATCGCACGACGAACAATAATTTCTACACTTAACTACCTTTAAATTGAACATCACAAGGCTAAGCTCGCATAAAAACTACATTTTCATGTTTGACCCGTATTTCTTGTATTTTTTACGATATGAGATCATTTCATCTGTTGTTTAGCAAATTAACAGCATTCATCTTCGAACTTTAATCCTCAGAGCAAGAGAAAAAACAAAAAAGGCTCGTATTTCGTATATTTCTTCCACAATTTTGGTTATATATTATTTTATTTTTTTCTATGAAATAGAGACTAGAAAATTCCCTAGAATGTCGAGAAAATGGAGAAAATATGCAGATATGCAATAATTGTTTTTATATAGTTTACACGCAAATTATAAATAACGATTCCGTGTTGAGCTCAACTTAATAGAAAGTATAAGCTACTGAGTAATTGCGCTTAAACATGCGCTTCCTCTGTCGGTTGATATGGAAAACATGTCGATATAGTTAAATAGAAGACAAACAAAAATGTTAACATTATGGTAGGTCAAGCGGAAATATCACTTAGAAGCAACACGACAGCGCAAATCCTCTCAAAAGCGACAAGTAAAAGAAAAAGAATGGTACCCAAACTGGGTGACTGACGGACGGGCAGATTGGCAGATTGGCGAACTGGCTTAGAAAAAGGCGGAAAGAATGTGTCAATAATGACTAATGGCCGAGGCGGCAAACGTATACCGTGTTGTTGTCCAAGGCCCATTCGTTTATTGTTGGCGTGTTGGCTCCTCTTACGGCTTGTGTATATCGTCTTTTGGCATTTTTATTTATTTCTGCATATTTTCTGTTTTGGGGTGTTTTTTGCTACTCATGATGTTGAAATGATTGGGGCCTATTCCTTTTTTTTTTTTTTTTTATACACATGTATAAGTCCCATTTGGTTTTGGCTTTTAATTTCAAATTCTGACGAAACTTTTTAGCTCTACTTTGAGCTGCGATTCACGGCTTATTCGCTGGGATTTCAAATGAGTTTCGCAAATGGTAACACGAAGAAAAAGTTTACTTTTATAACAAACAAACACACACACACGCACACCCACAGAGTAGCAAAAGTTTTAATTAATTTAAGCTTGTTTAATTTACTTGAAAAACACGAAAAACCGGTGACGCAACATGTTCATAAATCTGAAAATAAAATGTAAAAATTTCAATCAACCGTTTTTAAATCAAATGCGAAAACGTGCTTAAAACGAGATAAAAGCAAATTAGAGAATCCAAATAGTTGGGCAATAACAAATGTAGAAAGTACTTGCGTTTCCTCGGAATCGCCAATCGATAAATAATTTATAGCACCCAAATGCGCTTCATTATAAAGACTTCTATAATTTGTCTGCACAAAACAAAAATGAAACCTGACCAAGTGAAACCACTTAAATGTCATGAAATTGAAGCTCATTACAAATACCAAAACAGAAACTGATGTGGGCAGTACTTTTATACCCTTGCAAAGGGTATTACCATTTTTTTAAGAAATGTTGAAACATTCTCATATTTATTTTCGACACGTGAAGCAAATGTATAAATATGCAAAGTACGTCTAGACAGACTTTGAAATAAGCATGCACTTTCAGTTGGACACAGAGTATCTGCTAGTCTGACACACTCTTATTTTTGTATAAAAAACCTCTCAAAGAAAACACGTACCACATTTCGTGGGGTCTGCGTCAAGTTGCACGCCCGAAATGACAAATCTTTGTGGTTCCGGGCTCGACACAATTATGGTCAGCAAATAAAATGCCCATCAGCCGAGAAGCTCAAGAGCAGAAAGCAAAAGGCACAAAAAGCACACAGAGCCAAATGGAGCCTGCCACATTTGTAGGCCAGTATAAATAGCTACGGCCACACAAACAATGGCAAAACAGGAGGAGCACAAAACAAACTCGAATTACACACAGGAGCGCTGAAGTGTTGGTTGCCCAAGGGGCACCCCCTCAAAGTAGGCAACCGATGTGCCCCAAATTGTTGTCATTGTTGCGTATACGCCTAGGTGTGCAGCTTCTGTACACTGTGCTTGCGTGTATGCTTGTCTGTGTATGTTTGTGTGTGTACATATTTGTGTGTACGCGCGTGTGGACTATGTAATTAATGTTTTCCACTTCTTTTGGTCCTTGGTGCTTGCTCCTGCACTGGCTTCTGCTCGTGCCCGTAGAAATTTCAGTCGGCCAGCAAGCAAGTGTGAGAGCGTAAAGTTTACGCAAACAGGAAATTGTTATCGCTTTGACGCCTTAAAAAAAACGTTCAATATACAAAAAAAAAGGCAGCAGTTAGACTATATGATACCCTCTACCTAGCTTGAACATAAACTAAATTAATTTAACGCTTGCGGTCTCGTACATGAAATTGCAAAATAATTTTGCAATTAATTAAATATTTTATTTAGCAACCGAGAAAGAGAGAGAGATGTAAGCTAATTATATCTACTTATTGATGGGTTGTATACCCTTAACAGCATTAAAACAGGATACAGACTGAGCGAAAAAAGAAACTGAAAGTCAGCATGGACTTGCGGAATATTAAAGAGCTGACCGAATTTGTTCCCTGTGCCAATGGGTCAATGACTCGCTGATGTCCTCTCGTGTCTGTGTGGGTGTCTGTGCGTGCGTGTGTGGGTAATTAAGATGCTATCGCAATGCGTTGAAATTTCAGGCCAAGATTTTCGCAGCCGTTTGTCTTTTCGGCTTTCATTTGTGGGCCAAACGGCTTTAAGCGACGCACTTTGCCTTTAATCAGTTGCAATTTTTATGCTTTCTGCCATTTCTTTCAATCAACTCCATTGACGGCCACTTAGAGCGTACTTGAGCTATGGCAGCAGGTCTGGGCGCGTCTAATTTACGCCTGCAATTTGTGGAGCGTTTCACGCACTACACGTAATTGATGACTGCTCGGGCACAGTACAAGTACAATGTGGGCGTATTTGGCCAGTCAGTAATTTACTTCATACTCTCGCGCACCGGCACATCGTTCTGGCCAGCTATGCAGGGCGCTTTTGTTATTGTTGGACTGTTTTAGGTGCTGCCTAAAAGCATGACTTGAACCATTTATATGACCAACATATTTTAAGCATGTTTATGCCAGAGAATGCGAGAATGCCAAGAAAATGGAAGGAAGCAAAATAACAGAGGACATAATAACGAAGAGGAAGACAACCAGTTGTCGGCTTTGTTTACGGAAGTCGACTGACCAAAAGGTTCATTCACTGGGCGCCATCCTCTTTCGTCAGCCCTGATCGATTTAAGGTTGACCTGTCAACGAGTAGAAAACACTCGAGTATATTGATATTTCATACACAGAACATGTTAGAACGGGAGCGAGAGAGTTTGCAAATCAGTGATTTAATGTCAAACAAACCTTGTGTGCGCCTTCTGTGTATTTTTATTATATACATCATAAATTTGTGGACTATCGTTTTATTATTGTAAATATTTTAACTGCACAATATTAGAAGAAATGTAGTTTACTTTATGTGTGCACACATGCTCATATTTTCGTATCATGTTTTTGGAGCTGGGCACAAGTACCTTCTAGTCGAGCATACTCAAGCCGTGTCTAAGCCAACATTTTTCCTCCTTTCTGTTCGAATATAAATGTCTTAAATGGCGACAAAATTCTCTGTTATAGAACTACCAAAAAGTTAAAGGCAAATTATAGCAGCAGCTACAAGTTGTATTTGGCTGTTCATTTTCTTTGAGTTTTTTTAAGAAGCCCTCAGAAGACTTTTGTGGCTAAAGCTGCTTAATAAAATAGCTAAGCTAGCGTCAATTTTGATTGTGCTGCTGAAAAGAAATTCACACGTATCGAGTATATGGTCGAGTCGTGACTTTGGGTCCAATTACTGCAGCGAAGAGTAAACCTAAACCAATTCGAAAATTTATTGCCTGACTCAACAACTCTGCACTTTTGAGCAATTTGCTACTGAAGCGGATTACAGGCGAGAAAAGGCAGAGCACACTTAATCGAAATAGTTTATAAATTTTGTTGTTTGCATGCGAAAATGCAACGGGCAAGTTACCACAGAATCCGCAGCATGCATTTTTTCAATACAAAAAATTGAGAAAAACTTTCTATTTGCTCAGCCAAGTATCGAAATGGTGGCAATCAGGCAGCGATGCCTGAGTGTAGAATAAAACATAAACCACAATAAGTGCTGCCAACGACGGCGACCCTCAGCCCAAACTAAACTAGACACTACAAAAAGGGGCTAAAAAAAAAAAGACAAATGCTGAAGAACTTTTCAATTTGGCCGCAAAATTTGCGCAATTTCCTGCGAATTTTGGCTTTGAACAGATGGCTAAAGTGGTAGGGAAAAGGATGCTTGGCTGGCGAGTGTTTGTGCTTGAGTTTGTGTGTGTGTGTGTGTGTGTGTGCGTGCGTGTGTAAGAGCTGCCACCAAACTGAAAAACCAAGTGGCAATGGGGAAATTATGGATTATGCAAAGTTGTTCAACGCTGACGATGCTTTGGCAGTTGCTGTGGCGCCAAGCACCTATTGATCTTTAATGCATGCAAAACGAGTTCTCTAAAGGGAGCGCTTAAAGACATAAGGAAACAAGTATGTTGCTTGCATTTAGTGCGTATATTAATAAACGTTTGTCCGATTTTACCAAAAAATCCACTTTAAATGGAAGTATATTTTGGTCGTATCATCATCTGAACTGATTTCAATGCATGGTAACCCTTCCAATTATACCACCAAATGCTTTTCTCGTTATTGACTTCGTCATAAAAGTATTTACCATTGAGATTGCTACAAAGATATATGTGTATTAATATTTAAACCAATCATTATACGAGATTAAACTACCTGTTGCCATACAAATTGTACCACCAACCGCTTGAGTACCATTCGGCACAATTACCAGAGGTCCACCCATCGTGATCCTGGTCATAGGTTGTGAAACTGTCATACAGATTATATCTAAGGGCATTGCCAGCATTTCCCGAATATGTGCCCAGGGACTTCAGCATATATTGCTCGTCCTCGCTGCCAATTAGAAAGCTATCATAACGGGCGTGTCGTGAAACATTTTGAAAATCAACCAGCTGTATATATAGCTCATAGGGCAGAGACTTGGTCATGTGATAGAGTATTTCCAGGCCCAAGAAGAACTCTCCCGTTAAGCTGCCAAAACCTTCGCGATACTCAAACCAGTTTCTGTAGAAGTCAACGCTACCATCGAAACGTCGCTGAACAACTGTCCAACCGGGTCCGGCTGTTTGACCGTCGCAAAGAACCGATACCTTACCAAAGCCGGCAACATCTATGTCATGAATGGCCGTTGAGTTCTCAAATGGTACGCAGTTCATGGCTTTTACTTGGACCAATTTTTCATGCTGCTGTTTGGCGTTGAAGTTGTGAAGGGAAACAGTACTATTTAAACTGGCTAATTGGGTTTTTAGTACCTTAAGAGCTTCGGTGTTAGCATCTAGTTGCCGTTTGATTGAATCGATTTCATTTTGGTCGCTGCCACTCTTTTCTTCTAGTGCTGCGATCAGCTTGTCCTTATATTTAATTTTCTCGTTGAAAATATTTTCAATTTGGTTGAAAATTGATGCATTCATTTCACTGGCTACCAGCTGCTTTTGGAGTTTCTGTAGTTTCTCATCTCTATCTTGAATGGAGACTTCACAGTTTTCAATCTTCTTTTTAGTTTCCATTGCATTGTCCAGCAGAGGCTTCAGCGTATTGAAGCAAAACGCGTTACATTGATCTTTCGAATCAATCGGCTATAAAAAACCAAATATAATTGGCTACACATGTATCGTTAAACTGACTCTACTCACGTTATCCTCGACACTGTTCGATGTGGCACACACTGTAACTGCTGCCATAAGCAGGAGCTTAAATATATACACTTCCTTAATGCGCATTATGCCGCTTGCTCTTCGCAGTGTGTCTGAAAGTAAATATTGAATTAATCTGGGCATCAAGTTAATAAAACAAAAAATTTGCGCGTTCTGTACTCATGCACTTATCAAATACACTGCTTGCATATATAATTGAAAAGCAGAGATAACTGAAGCTTTTAGGTCGTCGAGGCTTCTCAGTTCACGCGATAACAATCGGCGTGCTTATAGAAATATTAGAAACCCATTTAATATATTACTTTTAATGTGTGCTTTATTGTGTTGCTGACATGGCAATATAAATGTATTATTTTATATTATTTCTTATTTATATTTATTTCAAGTGTGCCTACTTTGTAGCAATTCCCAAGTGTGTTTTTGCCTTCATATTAGTCACACTAATGTATACTTTGGTCTGATTGACATTTTCACAGATTTCAACGAGTAGTAGCCTCGCATTGTGTACCACCAAATGCCTTTTACATTTTTCTCGCCGCTTTTAAAGTATCTGCCGTTGAGATTACTATATTAAAGAAAGAAATTGAAATTAGTGTTCGATCGGTGAAATATGTTTGACTCCTCCAACCTATTTGCATCCCAGTTGTACCACCAGCCACTTTCGTAATAGTTGGCACAGTTGCCTCTCGGCCATCTATCATTGTCATTGTCGTAGGTTGAGAATTTATCATAAAGATTATATTTTAATGAATCGCCAGCATTGCCACTGTATGCCCCCAGGGACTTCAGCATATATTGTTCCTCCTCGCTGCCAATAAGGAAGGAATCGTATCGTGCGTAGTACATTTGGTTTTTAAAATCAACGAGCTCTATATACAATTCATAAGGCCGTGATTTAGTCAGGCGGTAAATGTATTCTAGGCCTAGAAAGAATTCGCCATTATAGAATCCAAAGCCATTGCGATATGCGCTCCAGTCTCTGTAGAAGCCAAGACTTCCATCGAAGCGGCGCTGTATAACAATCCAACCTGCTTCTGCACCGCGAGAATGGCAAAGAGCGACAAATGGTGCGATACCAGGCACATTTATCAATTGATCACTATCGAATATATCGAGGAGAGAGCAGCTAGTTGCTTTCTTTTCTTCAAATTTCATTGAGATCAATTTCTTTAAGTAGATCACGGAGTCATTTAAATTATTTATTTGAGCCTGTAACTGTCCTATGATGGCTGTAAGATCTTCTGTTTGAGCTACCGGAGACTGCATCAGATTCGTTCCGATAAAATCCGATAAAATACTTTCATTTGATTTTCCTGCAAAATTTATTGTTCTTATGTCCTTATATGTCGCGTTTATTTCCACAGATCCCAGAGTCCCTTGTAGATCGACTATGTGAATGTTTTTACTTTGGATGACATTGTCCAACTGTAAATGGAAATCATAAATGCTATAAAAGAACTTTTAACACATGTTCGCTCACCTCGTTATCTTCATTTTTCAATGCTGCACATATCGTGAAATATTCCAAAAGCAGAATATATGCGAAATGTTTATCTCTTCGCAGCATTTTCTCTTAAAATGTGAATAGCGTGTTGTGCGAATGAATTTTAAGATGGAACTAAACAGAAGCTGTGAATTACCTTTGTATTTTACAGCCCAGTTGTTGTTTGCCGAATGTTTTTTTCAGAGCTTATCCACTTATCAATGTTAGCTTATCACATGAATGCATACTTACCCACGTTACATCGCTTAAAAGATTGTTTTTACTTAATTTGATAAGAAATTTCACTTCATTATTATATACCTATATATAAGGCTCCTGTGCAGCATTTTCAAGTTGCCAAGTTCAAGTCGGGTCTTATGAGACCCATATAAATGCGCCGTTTCATCTAAATTATGTAGTTTTATGTTTGTTTTAATAAACACTTCTTAGTTTGTGCGAAACTTAATATTTATGTTGATAAAACAGATAACCATTTGTTTATGGCCGGTGAGTAACAGCCGCCAAGAACCTTATATCCGTCTACTCCATATATTTGCTTGCTAATTGAATACTTACTTACAAACATTAATATGCTCTTAAAACGAAACGTTATTTTCTATAAGTTTAACTGGCTTAGATTCAATTAAGATTGCAAGTTAAATTTGCATGGTAAATCAATAGAATATTGAAATGCGGATTGCGTTTTCACTTTTCGCCTTTAGTCAACACCCACTTTAATAGCTATGAAGCACCTTGCAATTGCTTCATTCAGAGAAACTCTCGGCGACCCGTTGGCAATTTGCTGTCCATTTTATTTTGTATTTAAATTAAATTTCAATGTTTATTTTTATTGCTCAATTGTGAAAAATTCGTACTCGTGAGTATTCCACCTGATTGTGGTATTTGCCATTAGCCGTTAGCCATAAGCCAATTTGCCTAATTTGCTCTTTTATATCATTTTATTAACAATGTGTGTGCGCTCTGCCACACACACACACACACACACACACATACACACACCAAGTTGCACGCAAATTTGTTTGGATAGCCAGCACACATAGATTGAGTGTGTGTGTATGTGTATCTCGAGCCATTTGCTGGCATATTGAGGTGCTAATGTATTTATAAAGCGACTTTGTTGTATTTTTAGTTTGAAAATAGAAAATTGAAAATCAAATGAAATTTGCTGGCCATGCCTTTAATCTGTTCATTTTCAATGCCCGATTTATGAAGTGTGAAGCATTAGTTTGATTTTTTCCCTACATATATAGATATGAGTTTGTATTGGCCGCAATAAATTGGGTCAAAATATATAGAATTTACTGGCTCGCTTTGAAGTCGTAGACTGAATGCGGCCCACATTTGCACCCATTTGGTTTTGAAATTCAAATTGGAAATGTAGAGCCGATAGAGTGGGGGACGACCTGGCAATATTAGCTTAAAAGGAATTTAATTAGCTTGAAGACTGAAAGAAAAGTTTGAGGATAAATCGAGTTACACTGTGCTGCACACTTATAAAAGCGCCTCGAGCTGTTTTCATAATTTAACTGACAGCTGAGTTTGCTGCATCAATATGGCAATAAGTTGGCGCTTGTATCCGGTTTCAACAGTCTTGGGAGTCGCTGCTTGGCGCACGTAGCGACTTTTAAGTGGTTTCTGTGCTTGTGCTTGACCTCAAACTTCAACTTGGCCTCGGTCTGTATGGCGCAGGGGGATTTGCATTTGCAGCTGCATGTGCCGTGTACCATCCTGTCTAACCAGACACCGAGGCAAGCCCATTAAAATCCTGAGAGCGCAAAAACCATCTCTGCCGGCCAACCACTTTTCGCATCCTTGCCAGCAGCTGGTTATCCCTTTCCACTGTCTGCCCAGGATGCAGCATATGGTCAAGTGCATAAGAATGCAGGCAGAGCATCATAATTCCTAGCTCTACTCGTCTTTGCCTTTGGCTCGCCTGCTAATGAAATTCCAAATAATCAATATGCGAGTGCCTGACCTTCAGCGAGAGCCATGGCCAGAACGAGAGCGAGAGCATGTGCAGACAAATACTAACGCACCCGGTACATGTGTGTCTTAACTGGTTGATGGAAAAATGAAAAACATTTTGCCCAGGCAATCTGTACATTGCAATTGTGCTGTGCTAAAACAAAAGGCCGCGTGAGAGCGACAAGCAGCTAGTGCAATTGTTGATATGCCTTGCTTTCTACCCACAGTTGCCGCATTTTCCAACACTTGCCAAGCACAAACATTTGCGATCTGCTAACCCACATACATACTACACACGAAGCTACACACTCACTCCATTACCCACAAATTGAAGTCTATTGCCATAGATTGAACGGGAACGAGTGGCCCTGGGTCAGCAAATGCTTCATGCTAAATACTCTTCTCGAAAGTGGGACGTGACGGGTCCCTTAAGGGAACATAAGTTTGTTAGCATTTTTTTGGCTCTTATGATGCTTTATGCTTTTTGGCAATTATGAATATGCATAATTTTTTTTTTTATATTAAATAGCTTTTAACGTAGCTATGGGATTATGCGGCATTTGTGTGTCTTTAGTTTAGAGTCCCCAGTTTTCAAACTGTGTAAAAACTTGTTTCAATATCAATTGAATTGGTTTCGTAAGTGTATTTGAACTTCACCGCATCGTTTCTATGTTTGTAGCCCAACTGTAAAACTCTCTGAGAAGTTCTCATACTGCACGCAATGCAGCTTCATTGTTCAGTGCGCAACCAGCGGTCATTTGCTAACAAAGTTTCAGTTTAGTTTCCAGTATATGTTGTGCAATTTTTTTTTTCGTTGCATTTCTCTGCTTTTTTCCTCGAGAAAAGTACGCGTATGCGTTATACCCTGTACAGATAAATGGGGAACAATTGTGTATATACTTGCAGAAATCTATAAAACGTTTAAAAGAAGACTTTAATGGTCCTCTGTTCCCTTTCTATAGCCTTCAACAGACCCTCACCAAATAAATATTCATATTAGTTCTAAATTCTTTATCGGAAAGGCTGTCAAAATTTGGATTATAGGTTAATATATTCAAATACTAAATGGTGTTACCCGGCTTTGCTAGTACCCAGTTTCCCTTACAATTCAATCGGTCAGCTCGTCAGTCCGAAATGTTGTACAGATATTCTGTGTACAGAGCATCACCTAGTCGAGCAATTTTTGCCACAGCATTCTTATGTTCGACGTGAAGGAAAGTGTTTGGAATTATCTTTCGACAAGCCAAGCACCCTGCCCTGTTAGGTTGTTAGCATCTTGTGAATTTTCAAATTGACATTTACATCAAGTATGAAAATTGTTCCTCTTGTTGACAATTTTCTGCCCTTTTTGCTCTTTGTAGTTTATTGTTTTGTTTTTGTCGCTCACACTTTTGCCTTCTTTTAACTTTTGCAAAGGGTACACAACATTTGTCATGTATTGTGTAACGCATAGTAGGCATATTTGACCCTATATAGCTAAGCTTTTTAATCAGTCCCAATAGCCATCAATATAATTAAGTTGGTCTGTCTGTTTTAATACAAATCAATCTCGGAGTTTTAAGGCCATCGTCATAATATTATGCATAGCTTCGTTTGTTTGTTGCACACATATATATATGAACACATATTTAATAGCTCCCATAGAAATAAAGATAAAAAGCTTAGATTTTCCATGAAGAACTTCTTCAATTTTTTTAATCAACCTGCGTACTACGATTCTTACCGCAAATCTTTATTGTCATTTAGCTACAAAAAAACTAAGTAACAATTATTCAAATGTAAAATCAAGAGTATTCAAAAATCAACTTCCCGAAGTTAGCCGTTCGTTCTTGTTTTTATGTGTTTATTGTCACACTTTCAAATGCAAGTTGTCTTATATATATATATATATATATATCTGTCTCCATCTGCATCTGCATCTGGTACGCACGGTCGAAGATACATTTGCAAGTCAAAAGCAGGCGAGCGGAGGGATACATAGAGAGAGATTCAGAGGGAGCGAATTACTGCTGTTGTGGCCATCATAAAAGATAAGCATTAGATAGCTACGAAGGTGATAAACGATAATTTGAATACTATAATTAAATTTAAAATACACTATCATTTTAATATGATTGCGCTTGACATACAATAAATTTGTATGACAATTGTAGAGAATTCTGCTGGCAACCAGCTGCAGCTTGACTTCTACGCATACATTTTGTATCTTTATATATAATGTTGTTCTTGTTTTGGTCTATGAACTAATGCGGTGATTTTTAAGCGCAGTTTCTTTCTTAAAATCACAATTTTATTTACTGAAGAATAAGAAGAATAAAATTAAAACTTCCTTTGCTCGCATAGTTAAAATTATTGACAAAATGAACCATATTAATGTATCTTCTTTAATTCGTTGAATATGTTCGCAAAACATTATTATTAATAATAATAATGAGCAGGCAAATGTACAGACCCGTAGAATATTTTAAGTTTAGGTAACTGAGATCGGTTACGCACCGCTTCTGCGACCCTTCTACCTAACCCCAATAAGTACCTACCTTACTTCAATAAGTAAGCGTTGCTGTACCACACTGGCGCAGGTACTGGTGCCTTTGAGATATCTCAGCTTTGAGGATCAATGCATAAATTGGTGGTAGTCAACCACCCTTGCAGCAGTCTTAAATGTGAAGACCACTAAGTAAGACATGGATAGTGTTTGTCGCGTTTGCATGAGCACAGTGGACCTGGTGGATATATTCGCAGATGGGAAGCTGCATGATTGTGAACGCACCCTAGTAGAAATGTTAAATGAATGCGTCAAGTACCCAGTGACACCCGAGGATGAACTTACAAAGAAGATATGCGGGTCTTGTATTTCTGATGTGAAAATAGCTTTTAGATTAAAACTCACTGCCGATAATAGCTATAAGCGGCTAAATATGAGTCTACAGGCAGATTTGGAAGAATTTATCGATACGCTAGCAGCAGAAGATTGGGAACTCGTGAACCATTCAATTAAGAAAGAGCTAGATGATACCTCTGAATTGGAGAACCATGTTGAGAGCGTACAAGAAAGGCAAAATAAACCTAAAAAGAGTACTAACTCGAAGAAGACATTTAAGTGTAAGACTTGCGGAAAGGCGTTCAATAAAAATGCCCATTTGATAACACATAATCGTATTCATACCAGCGAACGACCTTTTAGGTGTCTAAAATGTCCAAAAACTTTCGCCCAGTCGTCTTCTCTTAAGACACACCAAATTGTTCACACCGGCGAGCGTATGTACAAGTGCCCCCACTGCCCAAAGGACTTTTCTAGAAAATATCATCTTAACAAACATCTTATTAATCACAGTGTTCTAATTGAAACGTCAATTCGAAAACAGTACAAATGTAATGTTTGCAGTAAGACATTCAAAAGTAATGATCATTTGTCAAGACATATTCGTTCTCATACCGGCGAGCGTCCTTTTAAGTGTTCCGAATGCTCAAAAGCTTTTACCCAGGCATCATCTCTTAAGACACACCAAATTGTTCACACCGGCGAGCGTAGGTACAAGTGTCCTCACTGCCCGAAGGACTTTACTAGAAACCATAACCTAGTCAGCCATCTGAGACATCACGCTTCAATAAAAGAAGCCAAAAGGAAATTACGCAATAGGAATAAAGCAGTCCAAAATAAAATCAAAAAGTAATCATCGATTGTTGAGCAAATAAATAAATAAAAAAGTGCTATACATGACAAAACTTGTTATTGTAAATAGATAATTTTCTTATTTAAACTTAACTAACGAATACTTATTCAATATCTAAACAAAACTGTGGGCAGGAGGCCAATAAGCGACCAAGAATTGGTTTGCCACAGTCAAACATGCGATGTTTTGTAGATCAAGACAGATAATATTGGGGGAATAGTCTACCACCCGCAGCTCTAAAAGCTGGTTAGCTCTAATTAATTGATTGTTGTTATCCCTGTTAAATAAACAACATGAGTTGCAGGCATATATGATTTGATGACTTTTTCCATAACCTGGTCTATAGCTGCCATTAATGGCATTATTCCTTATCCCCGATACAGAAATTCAGTCTCATTTCGGTTCCCGATTAGCTGCCTAATCACGAGCTGTGCTCTAACATCTCGTTCTTTTTGTATAATCAACTACACACCTTCACAGCTTCAAAAACTGAGCCGTTGGACCCACGTCATATTTCGTAGCAAGTAAAGGAACAATCGTTGGTTATTTTGATTGATATTCTCATACTGCTTCCCCCGCTAGCTCTGCTGTTCCTCCGCCTCCTGATCGCTTGCTGATGCTTGCTGCTGATATACACTTATTTTGAACACACGTAACATATTTTTGGTCAGTTCTTTGCCTTTTAGGCGTTTAACGTTTGTTTTCTCATCATTAATAAAAAAAGTTTTCTTTTGTTTCGTCATTCCAGGGAATATATGCTAATTTTGTTCGTGCTGTAATTCGCACTTGGCTTTGTATATCAGTGAAAATTTTCTTCTCGTTATTTGCCTTTTCAAGCAAAGCAAATACGTGGGCGATTCTAATTGTCTTGGAGAATTTAAGCGAGTCGTGTTTAGCTTAATCGCGCCGTCAAGAAAAGAAGAGAAAATCAAAGTGCATAACAGGCAATGCCAAAAACTCTCAACGAAAACCACCGGTTAGAGCGAAGAAGAACTGTCCTGTAGTGAATTCGTAGTAACATATATATCAAAGAAATAATTTTAATCAACAAACATAAGTTACGATCAGGTTATGCAACCAATTTATATAGCTCAAGCCCTCCATAAGTAAGCGTTGACATACCCCACTGTACCTTGAAAATACCTGTTCTTTGAAGAACAAATCACAAATTGGCTATAGCCAACCGCCCTTACTTGAATGTGAAGACAACTAAGTAAGACATGGAGAGCGTTTGTCGCGTTTGCATGAGCACAGTGGACCTGGTGGATATATTCGCGGATGGGAATATGTCTGAGTGCGAACTCACCCTTGCGCAGATCTTAAATGAATGTGTCACCTACCCAGTAAAACCTGACGATAAACTTACAAAGAAGATTTGCGGGTCTTGTATATTAGATGTGAAAATAGCTTATAGATTAAAGCGCAATGCCGAAGATAGCCATAAGCTACTTAGTATGAGTCTAATGGAAACAGAAGACTTTATCGATATGCTAGCAGAAGAAGATTGGGAGCTAGTCAAGGATATGATTAAACAAGATGTAGATGAAAGCTATAAGCTGGAGGTACCTGTAGAGAGTATACAAGAAAGTCAGAGTATAACTGAAAATAATCCAAACTCAAAAAATACATTTAAATGTAAGACATGTGAAAGAGAATTTAGCTCAAATATGAGTTTAATAAGACACAATCGTATTCACTCTGGTGAGCGTCCGCATAATTGTCTGAAATGCTCGAAATCTTTTATCCAATCAAGTGATCTTAAAAGACATCAAATTGTTCATACCCGCAAGCGTAGAAAAAATTTTGATTTAAACGATAATATTAGAAAGGAGGCTGATCAAAATATGATTAAAAACAAATCGATATCAAGAAAATTAGTCCAGTGTAAAATTTGCGGAAAGACTTTTATAGGAAATTCTTACTTAACAAGGCACAATCTGATTCATACCGGCGAACGTGCTTTTAAGTGTCCGAAATGCCCAAAGACTTTTACCCGGGCATCTACTCTTAAAACACACCAAACTGTGCACAGCAGCAAGCGTTTGTTCAAATGTCCCCAGTGCCAAAAGACCTTTACCCGAAAATATAATCTAAACGATCATCTTAGAAAGCACGGGGATCAAAAAGTGATTGAAAAGAAACCAAAGGAGGCAAAATGTAAGACTAGTGGTAAGACATTCAAAAGAAATGAACATTTGATAAGGCACACTCGTATTCACACTGAACGTGAACGTCCTTTTAAGTGTCCGAAATGTCCGAAATCTTTTGTCCAGGCATCAAATCTTAAAACACACGAAGCTGTTCACACCGGCAAGAGTATGTTCAAGTGTCCCCACTGCCCTAAGAACTTTAATACAAAACAAGGTCTAAACCAGCATCAGAAAATACACGTTTCTAAAAACGAATCCGAAAGCATATAAAAAATTCAAAATTTAAATGAAGTCAAAAGGATTTTAACGAATTTATGGCTATATATTTAATAGAAAAAAATTTGATAAGGCATGGTCGAACGTCCTTTTAAATATCAGATATGCCCGAAATCTTCTACCCATATGTGCTCAAGAACCAGCAACTGGTTGATTCTGGCGACCATTTGTTCAAGTGTTCCCACTGACCAAAAGACTGTACTGTGAGATATAACTTAGTCAACCATCTGCGCAGCCACTCTTTAAATGGCAATACAAATTAGAGTAGAAATTATCTTATAAAAATATGTATTTATATATGTTAAAAAATTGCTGAACTGCTAATAAATGTATTTTCCCTAAACAGATAAAATATATAGTAGTCTTTACTCTACCCGACACGATATTACCGCGAACGTCTACTCCATTGCCCCTATTCTTTGCATCTTTTAATTTTACAGCGTATTATAAAAACACAAACAACTGCCCGATATAGCTCTTTTATTACATAGATGGAGAGAGCATACTAGAAAGTCGACATATAAGTCAAAAAAAGTAAAATGAGGCTTTGTTGTTTTTCCCCTTACCTTTACCGTCCTTTTACCTGTCCGAAATTGTGAAAATATTTTTCTCCATATATATGCTTTTAAAACGCGACAAATTGTTCATTCCGGTGAGCGGAGATCCAATTGTCCCAATGACTACCATAAAAAATATTCATCTCTTATTAAATCTTATCTTTTTGATTTTGTGTAATATTTATGATGCGTCGCAAAAAAAATTCCGCCTTGATACAAGTCTCTAGGCTTTGCGTGAATCAGTATAGCATCATCTAAAAAAAACTCCGCAGACAGAAGGCGCAACCAAGTTTTTGTTTGGGACAAGATTTAGTTTTCCACGTGCCACGGATGAATGCAACAAAGATTTTTAGGTCAAGGCAAAAATGTTGGAAAATAGTTTACTCCCCGGCAGCCAGCTTGTTGGGCTCTAAAGACTTAATTGTTGTTATCCACGGTAGATAAACAAAATGAGTTCACTGAAATATTTGAGCTGATGCGCTTTTCCATAACCTGGTATTCAGCTGCGTTAAATGACATTTTCCCAGATCCTCGAAACAAAATTGCTCTCCCAACTCAGCCAATTAGCTCTCTAATCACTAGCTGTGCCCTCACATCACAGTCTCGTGTCAAATGAACTACAGACCTGCCACATGATTGCAGCATGGTTTAACATGCCTCAAAATGATTTGACCTGTCCAAAGCAGCTGCAGGCCACAAACTGGGTAGCAATCAATTGTTAGACATGTTGCCAAACAAAGGCCATAAACTGGCAGCCGATTGAGTGTGGGCCAGATAGAGTGAAATTATTAAGGAGCTTTAGAAGGCCATATTGATTGCATATTGCACTTGGCCATGGAGCATTTTTATGTTTCATTTATATAATTTTAAAAGAATGTATTGACTCCTCGCCAAATTGATTTGTATTTAAACTGGATTAACTTTGAATTTCTAGTGCTTTAATATTAGGAGGTGCCGTTTAAATGTTAATTGTACTCTTTTAATCATATGGAAAATATAAGTAAGCAATGATATTTTAATCAAAAATGTTTAATGTCATACAAAATTAGCATATCTGTCAAATATTTGATTTTGAAACGAATGAGGTTAGTTAGCTAAATTTTGAGTATCCCAACAAACTCGATTTGTGTTTTATATTTTATTTATTTTCATATGAACTTAAAATCCACTTTATTTCACAGTATCAAGCCAAAAAAACGTTGCTGCAGCTCAAATGACACTTAATATGTAATTCTTGTTTAATTCATGCATAATTCCTGTAGTTTTTCTTCTTGACTAACGTTAAGAATTTCTTTTTAAATAATTACATCTATGAGAATGTTAATAGGCTTATGTTACATTCAAAAATACAAATAGTACAATACACGTAAATTTTTAAATGGCAACACTAAAAATATTTTTATTTCAATTTCTTAATTTCGTTTGCTTAGCAGAAACGCGTTTTTAGTTTTTCATTGTAATTTAATAGCTCATTCAAAGGGATATTTTAACTGCTTTGATATAATTATTAAGGGGTATACAGCGAATTGAAACATTAATTTTAACATCAATTTCAGTTTTAAAAATGTTTATATCATTAATATTAAATTTGAATTAGTATTCATTATGTTTGATAATTGAATAACTACATACTATAAACTTTATTAATCAATTAATTTTAAACGCATATTTTGATTTATTTTGTATGCAATATCTTGTTAATCGTCTTCCTTATATCATCATCACATTGGGAATTTCATTCGGTAATGTGAATATTTGTTCAAATACTTGTTTTTTTCGTTTTATTTCCAGTGGAATTGTTTATTGAATAATTCCCCTTAAATATTATTTCAATTGTTTAGTTTTAAATTTTTTTTTTGGTTACATTCTTTCGATTTGTGAGTTGCTCACAACTTTCAAACTATCATCAAGGTCTTTCTCTGAATATATCTTTGGCTTAATGCTTTAACCACACTTCGCTCCATATTACTTAAAGTTAAAATCTGAAAATCTTTCGTCAAAGACTTAACATTCTGAACTAAACCTGCCGGTGTGTGCGAATGTGAAGGATAATATAAAACTGAATTTACATATTGTAAAAAATATCAATGTTCTCCTTATAGTAAACATTCTGGTCTACTAATCAGCTCTGCATTCAACTGCAACTCCCCTGGACACACTTCTACACGCACTCATCTGCGCGCTATAAATACAACCGTCTCGAGCGGCATACCGGGAGCCCGCTCTTATAAATCCGTATGGAGCACCGGTGGCTTACAGTTGGTCTCGGCGTTGACAACGAGCAGGGCGGCGCCAGCAGTTGGGGTAACCTCGGGTGCCGTATGAGTTATTGCCACAGGCTGTATGGAGGTAACGACGTCTGTGCCAGCCGTGGTTGTCGTTGTAGTTGTGGTCATTTGCGCATTATTGTTCCGGGCATTAGCCAGAGCCCTCTTCTTGGCCTTGCTGTTATTTGCAGCGGCGTTGGGGCCAATCAAGCGCTCCGATTGTCGCCCCTTGCCAAACTTGGGAAAGAAACTGTTTTCCAGCTGCAGCTGGGCATTCACATCTTTTCGTGCCGCACAAGTGCAGGCCTTCATAAAGCTCTTCTTAAAGTTGTCGCTAAGGAAGGCATAGAGTATGGGATTCATCGCCGAGTTTGAGTAGCTAAGGCAGCCGCAGGCTAGAAAAACTGCCAGCTCCAGCCTGGAGGCACAGCCGGGCGTTGAGTTAATCAATGCCACCTGTGATATCCAATGGGGCAACCAACACATAATGTATACAGTTATCACGGTCAGCACCAGTTTGGTAACCTTGCGGTGTGAGCGTTTCTTCTCCTTGCTCTTGTGCTTGGGGCCCACCGTATGCAGCTTACGTATGACCAGGCAGTAAAAGATCATGATGAAAATCAGCGGCGTCACAAAGCCCAGTACCAGAGAGTACAGAATAAACGCAGAGTCTGATTGTATATTAAACGCTTCGGGCCAATTAATGCTACAGGAGACGTGACCTGGACCAGACTCGAATGTGCTGGCAAACAGAATAACAGGCAGCATTAACAACACCGATGTCGTCCAGGCTACAGCCGAGACCACTTTAGAGACAAACGGGGTACGGTAGCGGGGCGATGATATCGGATGACATACGGCTATATAACGATCCGCCGACATGATGAGCAAAAATATAGAGGAGGTGAACTGCGTCACCGAGGTGCTAACCAAATAGGCCTTGCACATGTAGTTGCCAAATGGCCAGTTACCCACCTGCATTGTGTAGAGTAAAAATGGAATGCCAATCAGAAAGCACTCATCCGCTATCGCCAGATTGAGTATATAGATATTGGTGACCGTCTGCATCTTAGAGAAGCGTAACACCACATAGATGACTAGCGTATTGCCAAAGAGACCAACAATGCAGACAAGCGCATAGAGTATCATCGTGATGAGCTCCAGACCAAAGCTGCCGTCTCGGCGGCAACCCTGCATTGGATTGTAGGGGCCGCTGCCATTGGGCGGGTCGCCGCCAAAGCCAATCGGCAGTGTTCCATTGAAGCCAGACGGAAATATGAAGCCGCTGCCGCTGCCGCCATTTACCAGATTCGCATTCATGTGCTTGTAGTAGTCCGAAAGTTCCAATGCTGGACTAAAGCCTTCGCTGTTGACGTCAACGTCTATGTCGCTGTCGGCGGCGGCGTCGGCGTCGCTGGATTTGGTGTAAGTGGGCATAGGCTGGACTGTTGCTGTTCCATTTGCCAATGTCGCCACCGACGTCGACGTCGCTGTCAACTGCTCTGTGGGCGTTATTAAGCTCGTTAGTGTCAGCGCTGTCAGCAGAAATAACAGGACGCCACATCCACCATGGACATGGTCCATGTGGCAGCTGCGGTTAGCGGCACCATTTGGTTTCGGGTAGCCTTTCATGTTTGTTGTGTGGCTTGTTGTTCCACCCACTGTTACCGATGCTAATCCTGCTGCTACTGTTGCTGCTCCTGTTCGTGTTGCTGCTGATATCGTTATGTTCGCTTGGCTAATTTTCAATCCCGGGCAACGCTCATTAGATGATGCCTGCTGCTAAAATTCAAATATTTTGATATGTTTTCCATACTTGATGCGTGGGCTTAAAGTGCAGATGCAAACCACATAGCTGCCGTCACATAATTTCAGATTTCAAACTGAAATGAGAGAAGAATGCAAAAGCGTATTATTATTTTCATGATACATTATACTCGTGTTACACAACTAATTGGCTTAGATTGATAGCCCACATAAAATGTTACTCAATGAAAGCACTAACCATACAGCATATCAGCATATATGTATTAAATGTGTTACTATGCAGCTTAGGTGGGACGGAAGGGCAATTTCTCTTTCGACCCTTGGTCAGTTCTTATAATCCCTTCAATCAGTCTAACACTTAAATTTAGATAATGTTTGCAAAAATTACTTTTACATTTGGTTCATCA